CAATACCTCACTTGCCTAAACAGTAAAGTTAAGATGCGTAAATAAGCTAAAACCTTGTATTGTTTTTACAATAAGCCTGAATAACTTTTAAAATGTTAGTCCAAACGACTTGTGTTTCGTTTCATTCGATTTCAGCGTATGTATAAGAGACATCTCACTTGTATAGGCAACAATATTTACGTTTTGTCCCCTTTTACATCTCTTCCATCAGGTTAATCTTTATAGTAGTTTTGGTGAAATTTAAGCTTACAGTTATTGTTGCAATTTTTATTTCTCTACCACTAGAAAAAAACTCTTTTAAAAAATGGTGGAAATAAATATGATTTGCCCAATATAATAATAAAAAAATGGCATATAGAATCTTTAAATCAAACTTACTAACTGCTAGATTTGCTATAACTAAAGTGAAATAATTTTGCATAAAAAATAAACAGAACTTATAAAACTTTCATTTATTTTTCATTCGAAAAATGAACAATGAGATATTCAATTCAGCAAATGTTGCCGCATATTAAATCGAAATTTTTTAAAAGGCATTTATCTGTCAAATTTTTTTTTAAAAAAAGGTAAAAACCTGTAATTTTTGTAGAATAAAATATTTATAAAGGATGTAATTAATTGCTTCAGTAAAAAAAAAGTAAATAATTTTGTAGCTACTATTTTCACATTAAAGTTATTTTCCACCAATATACATATTACTGTTTTAACGATTTTATGCTGAATTATTCTAGTAAGTTCATAAAATTATTAATAAACTATTTGATAAATGAATATTAAAAAAAAAAAAATTTCGCAGATGAAATGAAGATTTAGGTAATTTTTTTTCTATCTCATAAACCGAATAAAAAATAATGTGGTGATCGGCAAATACCGTCGTAAACTGAATAAAAATAGGATATTCTAGGTATTGAGCCCCTTTATGAAGATAATCCTATTTTTTTTTCTTTTTCATTGAAAGAAGAATATATATCTGGGTCCAAACGATGTAAAAAAATACGCATTTTTTGTTTATCTTTCTGGATTATATAAAAAACGCCACACTAAGAAAAAACAAGTATGGTCAAAACTATCAGAATATGGAAAATTTTACCCTGTATCAGACTTCATGAAAATACTAAAAAGCTGGGTAATTTTCAACGAAGCGCTCTAGTAACGATGATGCAAGGCGAATGTCGAAATGCAAGGTGTGGATTAAATTTGAGGAAAATATAAAAATGTTGTAATAAATATGTGAAATGATATTTTTGCATATTTTTATCATTGCTATTTAAAAAAGTTAAATAAAAGTGGAATATTGACTAAATTTTATTTGCGTTTTCTAAAAAAAAAAAAGAGAGAGAGAGAAAGTGAAATTTCATAAAAGTGCCGAATGGCCCGGCAAAATTTTCCGAATTTTCGGAAGTCACAGCGACCTTCCGTGACCAGGCGCCCCTGGGCTTACTGCGGGGGTGAGGGGCGGACAAACTTCAGATATCCAAATTAGGTCTACACAACATCTCAAATTTGAAAACTCTTTCAAGCAGTCCTATATTTATTTCTTGTAAAGTAGGCGTGGTTCTAACAAATAGAAAGAAAAATAATTATAGGAGAAAACGTCGCCTTTAAAATATTATTAGCTTCGACCTGCGGCCCACAAAATTTATTGACGTGGCCCTTAAACACAAAATTTTTAAGCCCCTTATTTTAAATTAAGTGAAAACTCTTCTTAGTTGAATGAAAAACAAGATGATATAGAGGAAATGAGCTCACTAAATGAAAAAAGCCTTCGGGCTTATAAAAAAGTTTTCATAAATACTTTCAAAATATACTTTTCCTTTATGACTGATACTGAGATTTGTTATGTTCCGCTACTAAATAAAATTTCGCATTAATATTGTTTATTATATTGCCAAAAGAGGAGATAACCAAACAAATAGAGATTCTAATGATAATGATAATTCTGAAGAACTTAATCAGAAAGAACATTAAAATTCTTGAAATGAAAACACATTAAGAACACGTACTTAATGTTAGTTGAAAATAAAAGCCAGTTGGCTCACTTGTTGCCATGCATTACTTCCGGATATTTTTATTGTAAACCTTTTAAGTAATTTCTCTTTTTATTTGCTCAATCCACATTTCTAACTTATTATTCATTTAAGATACTGTAAAAATATTTAAACATTTTAAAACTTATATCAACTTTTTTTCCTTCCACAAAATCTTGTAGCAGACGATAAAATTTTTCATGATTTCTATCATTTTTGTTCTACGCATTGTAATATTGGCGCGGTATTTAAGAGAATGTCAGCATATGCTCTTGAGTACAACTTCATTCTTGTGGTATTTAAAACTTAATGATAAGTGTTTTTTTAAGCAATTAAAACTTAAAGGTAAGTGATTTTTTTTTCATTTATTAATTTTTATTATTATTATTTGCCTATTTCAGTCTTAGTACTTTTAAATACTAAGAACTATAGTTTTATTCTTTTTATTCCGGATTGTTATGCAACAAACAGTGATTATAACATAGGTTCTCAAGTATATA